TTGGTAACAATACACCTTTAAACACATTTTGTCTTAACAAAAATGTCAAAACTATGTAACATACAAAAGGAAATTTCTTTTATCCTTTCTGCCCCGACCAGTTCCTGGTCTTTTTATTCGGTTCTGACCAAAATGAGTTTGACACCTCTGTCCTGCACAGTAGCAGTGATTTTATCGGCTTATTAACACGAGCGCGAGGCAAAAAGACCAAGGTCTGATATTTCTCTGTACAGACCGAGAAAGCAAAGTTAATAAATGTTTTATTATATGACTATTTTTCATTTGTGCAAATATCGATCGGTTTCAACTAGCAAAAACACATGTAACCAAACTGTCAAACTGTGACATGAAGAACTTGCTTATCAGATGATTGAGGTCGCCCCTGGTGAGTTCTCAATCTCTTCTGTGTCTTTAATGCTTTTTAGATATTTGTTAAGTAAGTTCATATCCAAGGTTTTCCTAATAGTGTTTTTACCTTTCTGGTCTGTAATGAAGTTGTCAATTTCTTCTTGACTGTTAGGAGTTGTGTTTTCGTCGTTATTTGCTGTTATTACTTCCTCTGGCTCTTCCAACTCGTCCGTAAAATAGAATTCACTGGAGATCGCTCCCAGTCGTCGCTCATTACTGTATTTCTTTTTTTACCGAGGAAAGATATCAAATTTTATACGCGCTGCGGACCAATTGTCATGGTAACGGTCCGAGATGGGAAAATATCAGACCGCAAATCAGCCAATCAGAGTGCGCGAACGATCCAAGTCATATAATAAAAGCGTGTATTTCATGTTCCAAATGTAAACATCGCTCTCATATTTTAGCTTCATTGTCATCTGCTCCTTGACGTGTAAACTAAAAAGCGGGTGTTGGCCTCGACTGTGCTGCTCCTGCGCACATCAAGGACATTCCACTCAACCTCCAGATTCACTATCATTACTTTTAATGTTCCTATTTATGAGTTATTAATTATATATTCAGTATACAGTAAAGATACATATACTTTGGTATTTCAGCCAATGAAAGAAATAGAACAAAATGGTAAACTCCTGTACATGTTTTCAATTATTATTATTATTTATTTATTCAAAATCTGTACACACACGCACACGCACGCACCTACACACACATACACACACACAATCCAAAATGGGAACAATATTAAGGCCAATATTCACACATACAGAATACAATATAAACAGTTTTACAGTATAAAAAGGGGTCGGATGAAGCAGAAATAACAAGGACGATGATTGCCAGATTGACAGACAATATTTCAGATTCTAAACATTCATTTAAACTACTACATGTGATCTGAAAGTATTAAACCGGAAATAACACTGTCTTTTGCCGTATATTCGTTCTGCAGCTTTGGTTATTGGACACATGACACTCAACAAACGAGAATGTCTGGTTTGACTCTGCTCCCTCTCTTTATGTCACGCACTAGTTCTAATAATAAAAATAATATCAGTTTCTTGTAGCGCTTTTCAAAAACTCAGACGCTTCACAATTCAGGACACACACACACACACACAATTAGACAAACACACAAAACTAAAAATTTAGACGCGGATATAAGAATAGTACAAAGCTCAGAATCAGAATCAGAATCATTTTTATTGCCACGTAAGTAACAGGAGGTCACAGACTTGGAAATTGCTTTGGCTCAGTGCAACAGTCAGAAAGAGATAGTAAAAAATAAAGAATAAAAAACACTTCTAAGGAATAAATTTAGAATTACAATAGAGTTACAATTACTTATACAATATACAGTGCACATGGTGCACACAATGTAAGGTGACAGCAGTACAGTGAAGTAAAGTGACGTATGATGGGCAGTAAAGTGACTTTATAAAGGGCGGGGGGACAGGTTAAGAAGTGTTCAAGAGTCCAACAGCAGAGGGGAAGAAACTGTTCTTGTGGCGGGAGGTTCTAGTCCTGATGGACCGCAGTCTCCTGCCTGAGGGGAGTGGTTGGAATAGTCCATGTGCAGGGTGAGAGGGGTCGGCTGTAAAAGCTGAAACTAAGAGTCGTACGCTTGGAGGAAGAGGTGATTTTTTTAGCTGTTTTTTGAAGAATAAACTAAAAAAATCACCTCTTCCTCCAAGTGAGTCCTAGTTTCTGAGATGAGGGGAGAGAGAGTTCCAGAGAGTGGAAGCAGAGATGGCGGAAGCTCGGCCCCCCCAAAGTTCTGCTATGATTTGACAGTGGGAGTGAGGAGAGGTGAGTCTGCGGATCGGAGTCGACGGGAGGGACTGTAGGGCTGTAGAAGTTCAGTGAGGTATGGAGCAGCCAGGTTATGGAGGGCTTTGGTTCGAAATGGATGCGCTGTTTGATGGGGAGCCAGTGGAGTTTATGACGGACAGGGGTGATGTGTTCTCTGGAGCGGGTCTGAGTGATGAGGCGGGCGGCAGAGTTTTGGACATATTACAGTTTTCGGAGATAAGATGAAGGAAGGCCGTGGAGGTTATGAAAGCATGGATCAGGGTTTCAGCAGCGGTGGAGGACAGATAAGGGAGAAGACAGATGAAAGAAGGCAGTTTTGGTGATGTTTCTGATCTGTGCGGACGGTGAGATGGTGGCTGTCGATGGAGAGTGTGAAATGCTGGGTATTGGAAAGGAGGGACTTGGGGCCGATATGAATTATTTCTGATTTTTTGCAGTTGAAAAGAAGCATCAAAGTAATTCACAAAATCAGGTGTATGTTACTGGATTATTTGTATATGTGGATACTGTGTGCGTGTGTGAGTGGAGAAAGGAGAAGATGAAAACACGGATCAAAGATGGAATCATAATGTAACTGATTGTATCGCTGTCTCTCTTCCAGATCAGCTCTGAAAACCTACTCACTGTGGGAAGAGAAACCTAGCACTTTAGCCAGGACTAGCAACACTCGCCACTGCCACGCTAGTATGAGGGCCATTACATAATATTTATTTATATAGGGCCCTTCACAGACCAGAGTCACAAAGCACTTTATAATTTTGTCTTACAACACACAAAGCGAGGTCTTCAAGCAGGAGGCGCATGTCAGATCTATTGTACGTTTTTAGGGGAAACCGGAGCACTTGGAGGAAACCAGAGTAGACTCGAGCTCATGCAAACTCCACACAGAAAGGTTTCAGAGGTGGAATCGAACCCAGAACCTTCTTACTATGAAGCATAACCATCGTCTTACCATCCTGTCCACTGAATATGACTGAATATGTGTCAGGACATAATGTTGCCTCAGTCCCAGTTTAAACATATCGTGATGTGGACTTTGGTTTGGCCATTTCCAAACAGAAGGATTAGGAGTAGGATCCTGGGTGACTTGTATAGAGTCTTATCACTGCTCCCATCTGGAAGCTAATGGAGGTCACACGACAAAAGAGTTTTGTTCAGGTGTTCTAGACTGTTCAAAGTCGGCGACACTCTTTATTCGAAGTCTTTTCTTCTGTAACATGAAGGTTATATACAAGAATCACAAAACACAAGGAGAACATGTGAAAAGCTTTATGTTAGAAGCCATCGTCAACAATGTGCAATCAAAATAATGAAGAAAAACATTACTACACTGCAAACAATGATACAATATGAGGTTTTAAATGCTTGGATCAAGTGCTTTTCATTCTGACTGTTTTAAAACTATTTACCAATGGGACAACGCCTTTTAGTCTTATCTCAAAAATTGTTGCTTTATTTTCTAATTCCAAGAAAGACATTTCTTGCATAATTTTAAAACAAGATCATTTTGCTTTCTCCCATTGGCAAATTTTGTTTTAGAGTAGTCAGAATGTGCTAAAATAATGATTCCTTTAGCCAAAATTTGAGCAATTTTTTACTTATTTTTCATCATTTTTTGCAGTGTACTTGTAGTAAGAGTTGTGTTTTTAATCGCAACATTTGTACTTTTATCGCTGGTGAGGGTGCTGCAGGCTCGTTGCCACCTGCTGGAGGTGAACGCTCCTCCCTCTGTGCTATAAAACAACTCTTTCATTAAAACTTTTCAAACCAAAAGCCCTCGGAGTCTATGTAATAAAATCCATCTCACTCGTTCCTGACGCAAAACAGTTTTGCTCCATCACTAGTTTTCACACGCAGGTATTTTTGCCTCTGTCATATATTAAGATCAGTTCAGATTCTTAAAATTCAGAAGGGAAAGTGAAAAAGAGCTCTAAGCCTAAAGCATGGATGGGCTATTATTTTCTCTCGAGGGGCCACATTGGAATTTGTTTATTTATTTATTTAACAAATATGACAATATCCAGTGTTTTTTTGTGTTTGTGGACATTTTGTTTAGAGCACATTAATACTAACATTATTTTGGGTTCATTCATTAGACCAGAATAAATATATACTTTGCCATGGAAGCACATTTTTTGTTACAAGGTTTCATTGGTATTGACTCCTGAGTAATTTAAATAAGAAACAGACCGGTATTAGGTTAATGGCTGGAAACGGTCCAGGGGCCGCATAGAAATGTGAATTGAGCCGGATGTGTCCCTCGAGCCGTACTTTGCCCAGATCTGCAGCGACCACTAAAGTATCAAGCAGATGTCATAATTTTATGTGATGACAGCCTGTTGTTGTCCACATTTCAAGACTGCTTCTTTTTTATGCTAAAGTTAGAGATTCTACTGTTCATTTATCATGTGATGTCTGCTCCTCATTTCTACTGTTCCGTAACTGGTGATGCAACACTGAAATTTCCCCACTGTGGGATGCATAAAATGATCTCTTAATGGTCCTATAGTTCGCTTTAGAAGTTATAGCCATTTCTTGCATAGAGGTGATGTCAGCTGCGAATGCCAGCACTGTAATCATTTTTAAACCAGAGAAAAGTCCAAAAGAAAAATATGGGCCCTTTAATCTTTTAGTTGGGACAGATAAATGTATCCTTCATCAGAAAGCACAGTTCTGTACCGAGCTTCAAAGCCTTTCAAGGACGTGGACACAGAAAGCGTCTTTGAACCTGTCTTGTATCCACACCGGGTGAGCGAGGCGGCCACACATTGTACATAACTTTATCTCTGCTTCTTCCGATTGAAAAGTTCACACTCCACCTCGAAGTCACAGCCTCCCAGCAGCAGTCGGTATCTCTCCCTCACATCAGCGTACAGAGGCATCGTACTCGGCTGCTCTCTCACACCCGGAAACGCCACCGTCTTCTCGTTGAGCAGCGGCTGCAGCCTGAGCTCTCCTCCCCCGCAGTTGTACAGCACCAGCACCAGGTTCGCGGCGTACGGAAGCATCTGGCTGGTGCGGAAAGAGCGGTTGGTTTGAGAGGCAAAGTTTTTGGATGTGAGGCGTTCGGTGTCGTTGAAGAAGCCGAGCAGAGTGAGCAGAGGCAGGAGGGTCTCTGCGTGGCCCACCTGGATCATCACCGGCTCGGACACGTTGCCGGGACTGAAACAACACAAACACGTGAGGCGTTAGGGTTGTATGTTATTTTAGTATATAGACAGCCTACAGCTTGTTAAGTATATAAATGGTCCAAACACATGAAGCTTTAGAGTTGTATTTTAGGATATAAATTGACATGGTGTGGATTTTCATTTTCTACTTGGTTTTAGTTTGACTCCAGTTCTGTGGTTTTGTTTTAGTTTGTTTTTTAGCCGTGTCTGTGTCTATATTATGTACCTGTGCTCCTCTCCCCTTGCTGCTGGGCCATTGTCAATGTCTGTCCATGTCTGTTCTGTTCCGGCCTGTTTTGAGTTTTGTTTTTACCTTGGACTTTTATTAAACCATCTTCATCGAATCCTTGTTTTTGCATTCCCGCTTTTTGGGTCCTTCCTCACTCCACCACACGACATAGACGGCCTATTTGTCTTAAATAAGTATGTTAAGTATGATTTTTGACCATTGAAAATATTATTGAAATGATTTACTTTGTCATTTCATGTTTGAGAATGTGAACTTAGAGCTGAGCGATTCACCTCCAAAAAATCTTCAATTATAAAAAAAAATATAAATATAGTATATGCATATCTTCTATTCAAAATTGCCTCAACAATGGGGAACGAATAGTTTGGATCTCTATACTGATTACTTTTTATGTATGAAAAAGTAATAAAAGCTTGGTTATTACCCAGCCAAAAACCAATAATACATAATTAATACATACATCAGTAACTTCCAATCAAAGTAATGAACTGATGTTTCACAGCATTAAGCTGGATTCAGGTTCAAGGCTTAAAATTAGGTATGATGGAGCTAAAGTTGGCTGAATGATTTCTTATTTTCTCACAGGCTGATCACTATGGTGTGGATTATACTGTAAACAGTGAATTCTGTAGATTTAAAATTGGATACAACACGTCTTCATTGACTTTTTCTTGAAATATGAATCAATTTAGACAGACAATGTAAAAATCAAATTGATATCGTGTCTTTTGTGAACTAATATCTTGAGTAGAACATATGGTATAAGAACAAATAAGTATCTAAGGTAATTATTCAAATTGGCCTCGCTATTCCAACAGAGGGAGTTAACATTACTGGCTGCAAACATAGGCACGGTTTGTGAACTTAGCTCACTTGAGAAATGGCAAACAACTAATCCATGTAGTATCCTGCAGCTATACAGTACATTGTTTGAAAAGACATCATGCTTTTACAGAACTAAGACAGGAGCTTTTAAACAGAAGGGGCGGAGCTACATGTTCCAAAGATTCTTCATACTGGCGTGGATGGATCTAAAAACAACTCCAGGTCTGTTTTTTGCATGTGTCTATCTTTCTATCTATGTATCTAAAACAGTGTCTCCCAAAGTGGGGTCCGCGGCCCCCTGGTAGACCGCGAGGGTACTGCAGGGGGGCCGCGGGAGGTCATAAAAAAAATAAAAAAATAATATAATTATTTAATGTTAAATTTATAATGTTTTGTTTGTAATATTAAAATATTTGTGTTCATTATTTGACTTGAATAATCCACTGTAATCATTTTTGTATTACAATGTTTGTAGCAGAGGCTATTTCCCCAAAATAAAATAACCAGAAGAGCCTATTCTTAATGTTGTCTTCTTGGTTATTATTTTGGGGGGCCACGCAGACCCGTCAGATTTTTAAGGGGGCCTCGGTGTTACTGAGTTTGGGAATGGCTGATCTAAAACATCATCTATTTATCTATGTGAATCTATACAATCCATAAATTATATTGGTGAAGTGTGTGTCTAATCTATTGGACCTTATAGATTTATAGATTTATGACTTATGTTTGATTTTCTGATCTGTTGTTGACAAATCGGCCGCTCTTGTGACTTACAACAAAAACAAAATTGATTTGAATTGACCTGTATGTGATGAAGGAAGCCTATAGCAGCATCTAAAATGTGCTAAAGTTATAACAAACTGCTTAAAGTAGCAATATGTAAGATTTTCATGTCAAGTCATCATCAAATCTGTCAAAAGGCATTAATAAACCATTCTCTTTTCAAATACTTCTTTAACTGATAACAGTAAATCAGAGATATTTGAATTTTAAAAATAGTTTTACAGCCTGAAAATCTTGTTGTTGTTTTCATTTCGATGTCTCGCCCTCCACTGTTTTACCAATCAGAAAGTCTGTGATCCGGGTTGCCAGAACTCACCGTGTTGAGCTAATCTCACTGGTAAAGTAACATGTGGCCTCAGAATTAAAAAAGGTCTTGTAATTATTCTCAAATCATTAATGACAAAACAAGGAATAAATCCAGGATTTCTATCTTTGTGAAAAAGGTATTTGTTATAGATTTGTTGTTGAAAAAACTCCCGTCTATTCAATTATTATGGTTCCAGCTGGATTTGTCTGCATATCTGGCAACCCGAGTCAGGGAGAGTGAGAGAGGCTACACCACTTTTGGCCAGATTTAGCTGCTCCTTTAACACACAGTATCTTAAGAGTGGGAATTTAATTTACAGTTTAGTGTGGGAGTGGTTTGTGTTTTCCTTTCTAACAGTAGTCATCAGTAATCTAATCGTTCTTCAGAGTTGTAATCAGCTAAAGATTTACCACCAGCATTCATTAGTAGCAGTATGTAATATTTGCATGTCAAGTCATCATTAAATGGCCCCCATATTTCAAAAGGCGTTATTAAATCATGCTCTTTTCGAATTCATCTTTAACTGATAACAGTAGTTCAGCCGAGATATTTGAATATCAAAATTAGTTTTACGACCCGTAAAAGTTGTTATTGTTTTGATTTTGATGTCCTACCCTTTGCCGTTTCGCCAATCAGGAAGTGCGGGGTCCGGGTTGCCAGATCTCCGCGCTGCTCACTAATCTCACTGGTAAAATACCATGTGGCGCAGAACTAAAAAAGGTCTTGTTATGACTCTCAAATCATTAATGACAAAACAAAGACCAAAACGAGGATTTATATCGGGACGCCTTTGAACAATTGAGACAGCGGATACAAGTTTTCGTGCGTTCTTCATGAATGGTTGAAGGCGTTGCATCCATGGCAGTGTCTCTCGCATGAACAGGTGGTCTAGCGGTTTAGCTGTCGCGCTTACAGTGTAGCAATCCAGGTTCAATTCCAGCCAGGATCTTTTTGTATTTAATTGGATAATATCACATTCTAGGGGCGACAGTGGCTCAGTTGGTAGAGCATTGGCCTTTGAGCCTGAAGGTCGTGGGTTCGAGCCCACCGTAAGACCTACTTCATGACTCCCACTGGTGACTGCTGTCGTTGTGTCCTTGGGCAAGACACTTAACCCCACTTTGCCTGAAGCCCCCACTGAAAGATCTCAGCTCCTGTGGACTCACCACCTGCAGGAGGATCAGTGAGGGGCTGGTGCTCTGTGTACTGGGTGCAGCTCTGACTGCCACCCCCCCGACCCAGAAATGGATTAAGGGGAAGAAAATGGATGGATGGATATCACATTCTATGACAGATTGCTCTAAAAACGGTAAAAGACGAAGGTCAAGACGTTTTTGGCAGATTATAGCTTATGTGTAAAAATATTAATTTGAGACCCCAATTAAAATAATGTTTTTTATGTCTCTTTTTGATGTGGGACTTTTACATGTTTGTCTAAAAAATAGGGAATAAATAGAATTGAAAGGTGCAAACCCTGATGTTGATACGCTGAAGAAATAAGTTCCAACATCCATTCTTCCCACTCCTATTTTGGACATAATTTGCTTATTTATTTTGCATAATCTATAATTACATTGCTTTTATTTATTTATTTATTTTAATTGTCCAAATAAAAAAAATAAAAAAACATTCATTCTAAACATTCATTCAACATTAGCACGGCTCATGGCAATGTGAATGGAGACAGACAAACAACTGATAAAATAATTCCTTGTGTTTGCTGCTGGATTTGGTGTGTATCTGGCAACCTGAGTCAGGGAGAGTGGAAGAGGACTACAAAATGTTGACTGTGGCTGCAGTACCACTTTTGGCCAGATTTTTACATATTGCTCTTTTAAGTTTGCATAACAACATGTATTGCTCCAAACAGGGAAGTAGAGAGACGATTCAGGGTAACGACTTTCTTGTGGTGAGCAATAATCATTCAACAATATTGGATGTGACTGTTTTCCAACCAAAAACACATACTTCGTTGCTGCTCTTTCAAGTCGACTGAACAAATCGTGGAAGAGAGAGCAGCTTGATTTGCTGTTGATGTCGTGACCGTAGCCCCTTTTCCAGTACTGCTTCAGGTCGTTGGCATACTCCATCACCTGAGACCATGAGCAAAAATAGTTTCAGTAGGTCTTTCCTTCCTGCTGCTGTCAGACTGTACAACGAGAACTGCTGAGCCTGTAAACGTCATTCATCTGTAAATAAAAATACTAAAATCATGTGCAATGTGCAATCCTGCAACTTCAGAATGTCCACTGAACCCCACGAATAAAAGAACTCTTATCACAATACTACATGGAAAACTGCAAAGGCCTTAACTTTATGTTTTTGAGTGGTTCCTTGCAGATGCAGGAGGGTCTAAGGCAAACCGGTTCCAGAAGAAGGCCGTTGTGGCTGCAGGTTTTCATTCCAACCAAGCAGGAGCACACCCGAAACCACCCACGCACTTCCTCAAGTCTTCAGGTTCAGACTGGACTCACTTGGGGAAGTGGGTAAAGTCTGCTCCTGCTTTGTTGGAATAAAAACCTGCACGGGCGCTTTCTGGAACTACTTTGACAACCCTGGTCTAAGGACATTTATGGACATTGGTCGTCTCACTCCCTCTTGACCAATGGCTCCAATGTGTTATTATTGCATTTCCCATGTTCGAACTGTCTGATTCTCTGATCTATTGTTGAGGAATCGACAATCCTCCAAGACGACAGATGCTGTGATTAAGTGCTACACAAAAAAAAAACTGAATAGAACTCATATTTCAGATTATTGTAAAAAACGTATAGAAGAAAGATGACTGAAATGTTAAATCTTCTTTTATTCCTGCACTTTTTACCGTGTTTTACTTATGTACTTGTCTGTTGCACTCTGAGGACTTTTGCACATGTATGTATTCCAAAGGAGTTTTACTGCAAATAAAAATGAATCTGAATCAAAAAGGTGACTACATACTTTTGCGTCGACTTCGTCAAAAAGCTGGCACCAGGGTGAGTTCACGGTCTTGATGGCAAGTTCATACGCACACAAGTAAAAGGCAGCTTCAGCCGATTCTGCGAAAACAACATTTATAAATACAGCTGCACAAAGATTTCTGAACGAGAACCAGACAGACATGAAGGAGCTCCCAAGAAAAGATAAAGAGCAGCAGGTATTTACTCACCTGTTTATTCTTACACGTATAAAAGTAACAGGTAAAGGAGAAATGAATACAACCACAGATACTCATGACGGACCTTTTGTATGTTGTGATATTTGTGATTAATCTTCAGTACAAACATTTTACAGGTTTCCCACTGCAAAAACAGAGATTTTGTGACAAAGTCTACACTGCAACAAGTGTTCAAATATGAGGTAGTAAATGGTTAAATCAAGTGGATTTTATCTTACTTTTAGTTCGTTCTGACTGTCTTCGAGAACTGTTGATTTTCTTTTCTCATTCCAAGGAAGACATTTTTTTATATAGATCCTTTTGGTGTGTTTTAAGGCAGTCAGAATCTGCTCAACTTTTTGCAGTGTATAGTAAAACATTTGCCAGGAGCTCAACAATACTTTTGATAAATGATGTATGAAAGAATGACAATATTTACTTTCAAAACAGACCGGCCCTTTCTTATTGCATCTTTGATATGATACAGTACTTCCTGGACTATAAGCCTAAAATATTTTCAAGTTGTTTGAACCCCAGAAGCGGAGGAAATGACCTGAATACAGCTTTATCAGCTGTTGATCTCTAGAGCTCTGTGATTAAATCGTGTTGCGGTTAGACTCAAATCAGTAACATCAGTAGCTTTCTGCCATCTAAAAAACATTGCCAGGATCAAAAACATAGTGTCTAAAGCAGACTTGGAGATTCTTATCCATGCATTTGTCTCCAGTAGGTTAGACTACTGCAATGGCCTGCTCACAGGTCTGTCCAAACAGGCTGTAAAACAGCTGCAGTACATTCAAAATGCAGCAGCTCGAGTCCTGACTAGAACCAGGAAGTACGACCACATTAGTCCAGTTCTCAGGTCTCTGCACTGGCTTCCTGTGGCTCAGAGAATAGACTTTAAAACAGCTCTGCTTGTGTACAAGTCTCTCCATGGCCTCGCACCAAAATATATTAGTGACATGTTAGTCCCATATGAACCAGCCCGGACTCTGAGGAGCACAGGGACTGGACTCCTGTTAGTGCCCAGAGTCAGAACTAAACATGGGGAGGCTGCTTTTCAGATTCATGCTGCTAAAATCTGGAACAGTCTTCCTGAAGATGTAAGACAGGCCTCCTCTCTGACAATGTTTAAAACCAGGTTAAAGACAGTTCTGTTTAACTGTGCATACAACTGAGGTATTTTATATTTTTATCTTTCTTTTTAATGTTCTGTGATTATTTATGATTTTAATGCTTTCTTATTTTGTTCAGCACTTTGAGTTGCCTTGTGTATGAATTGTGCTATATAAATAAACTTGCCTTGCCTTGCCTAAAACACTTCGGCTGAGTCCAAAGCCCTGTGTATACTCGGGCGTCACTGTGTGGACCCGTGGTTGATTATGCAGACAGTTATTCGTATACTCGAGCGTACTCCCATGCGTAGTTTTAAGTACAGGACAATAAAGACACCATTTTTTGTTGGAAACAGATGGTTATTATTAAAGTGTATTTGTGCACAAACAAGCAAAAGGAAAATAAATCTATTTCAAACGTATTTTTATCACAAGGAAAACTTTAGTGAGAAAAGAGAGGCGTGTGCAGAAGCCCAAACTCTGATGGGAGTGAGCCTAATTACATAAATACAGTTCTCTCATTGGATAGTTTTTAGTTTGGTTTGTGGCACATATAACAGCAGCTAATGAGAAAAAATTTTCTTACTGTTCTACTGTGGTGCAGTTAAACATCCTTGAACAAACTCACCGTCTGTGATCTGGCTGTAGGGCACTCCGAGGCGGTCTGCGATCTTCTCCTGGACCCTCGTCATCTCCGGACCCTTGTTGAACTCGTCCAGCTCAGACAGGGCTTTATCGTTCTCACTCACATCCTCCACAAACTTCGTACACGTGTCGAAGAAGCGCATCAGAGCATCGTTCACGGAATGCTCAAACGACTGATCTGCAGAAAGTTATTACGGTGGTTACAGAGGTTATTACTTGCCAGACTATAAGCTACCGCTACTTTTTCCAAGCTTTTTGAACTCTGCGGCTTAAATAGGCGATATGTATTTCTTATTATTTTGTTAGAGCGCCCTCTGGGGTTAAGGAAAAGGTATTGACAGCACCATCAGCTGTTGTTTATGTTTATGTGAACAGCGGACAGGGACAACGTGGGGAAGTACAGGGAAATACTTTATGACTTGTTTTATGTGATTAGGGCTGTTGTCAGAGCAGAGTTTATGAACAAAATAGATCAATAAATGAGTCCCAACATAAAAGCTTATAGTTAAGAGAAGCTCGCTAACATGACTTAATATTTTCCTCCTCAGAATCTATAGTTTTACTACGTCAGCACAGTTTAATAGTCCAGACAGAATTGCATCTTTGAGATTAAATGTAACATCCGACTAGAAGTATGAACATGCAGCTTAAGCCTAAATTCAGGCTGGAACACCAAAAGAGACTTCCCCGCTACACCTCCGCCTCAGACCACACATCACTTCATGACCTCTCAGTTCTCTGAAACTTCAAGCAGCTGTTTGCGCACCAACCCACCTCCTCCACATCACCGCCCTCTTCAGTGGAGAAACAGGTCATGGCCTTGGCTCAGCTTCCTTTGCCACCAGGGTCAAGGCCACATCCAACTCCCTCCTGAATATGTCATGCAGTATTCCTGTTGAGGTCTCATCGCCAATCTTAATGAAAAATTCATGTTCAAATGCAATAAATATATTAGTACCCAATTATGGGTCTGTTGGGTTTTATTGTCTATTGTTGTTATCTCGACTTGATTCAGAGCCAAGAAATGTATTCACTTTCCTTTTTTGATACGTATTGTAGTTATTTAAAAACGTATCATATGTGTAGGCTAAAACGCTATAACATAGAAATTCTGGCTAATAGGAAATGAAACTATGTGTCAGAGCTATCAGTTCTGCCGTTTAGAACAGGAAGGCAAAACCCTGATTAAGCTGTTTTAGATCTACATTGTAACCTATACATGACCAATGTATGGCATAGTTTACAATCTAATCAATATTTCTGTTTACAAAGAGTGAAATGTTTAGGACACATTTCCACAAATAGCTGAAGAAGTATGTGACTGTGAAGAGCATGACTGTGTTGTAATGACAGAGCATTCAGCCCCAAACTCTGGAACACTCCACCGCTCGACCTGCGACTGTTGTTGATCTAAAAAATTCTGATTTTTTGCATATTGTGTGTGATGTTTTTTTTTTTTTTAAATCTATTGCAAGGCGTTCTTTGGTGTCTTGAAAGGAGCCATGACATAAAATCAATTATTATTACTAATATTAAGTTTGTTCATCTGTAACTGTTATGTCTTTATATCGTTAATTTGTGTATTCTGTCTCATCTTCACTTCTATGTATTTGTATTGAACGTATCATTTCTGTGTATTGCTCAGAGAAGGAAGAGCATCAGTCGCTGAATCAGACTGTTTTGGTGAAGAGGAAACTGGGCAAAGAAATCCACACATGTGAAAACGCCCTCTGGTGGCTAAACGGCTCAGAGGGCAGCACTGATGCTTCACTGTAGGTTTGATCCTTTCTGTGTGGAGTTTGCGTGTTTTTCCCAGTTCCTCCGGGCGCTCCGGTTGCCCCATCCACCCAAAACATGACAAGCACCAAAGGTAAAACATCCAGCTCCAGTAGCACGAGTCCCTAACAATAACATCTATTGTTGTCCGAGTGGCATTGAAGGATAAGTTTAAGGCAGTTCAGACTGGAAGAGAGAACTCATTGCTCACTGTTCTCAGTCCCCTGCAGCTGCAACAGGTATCAGTCAATCACATGCAAGAAGCTTTCACCCGTGCAGCAACCCTCCTCCTCCCCATCACCACCTCGTCAGCCGAACCCCCTCTTTAACCCATCTTCTTCGCTACCGCCACCAGGGTCTAGGCCTCTGGGGATTTTATCTCATAATATATATTTTAACTTCCCTTCTGTATTTTTCACAGTGCTCTGCTGGGGTCTAAGCGCCAAATCATAACCACAGTTCATGTACAACACCAATAAATGTAATTCTAGCATATATAACGTCTGCAGAGTTTTATGTGCTAATTTTTGTGGTGACAAATTACTTGCCACACTAGTAACTCTCTTTTGTCTGTTAAAGTGTAATAACGTGTCGTTTAACCTTAACCACGCAGTACCTTTGATGTTCCACAGCTCTGTCAGGCCTCTCTTGAACGACAGGGTGCTGTTGACACATCTGTGCTTGGAGCTGGTCATAAACTGGATACCTCCTTTTCTGAGATTGTCCTCTGATATGAGCGAGGGGAACAGTTTGGACAGCCGCACCGCCAGATGCCTGTGGTCATCCATGCCCTTACGCACCAGGCGCCCGTCCATGTCCTCTGTGTACCACATCACCCAGTCCTGCCTCAGCTCCCGAAGCCAGTCCTTGTCCTCTGTGGATGTCTTCACCACCTCGTAAAACTTCAGCATCTTTTGGACGTTTTTAGTGGTGGGGTAGCGCGTCCCATGCCTGATTATAGCGGTGAGATGGACCGGGCGACATTGGGGAGTAGGAGGCCGGATCATGGACGTGTTTACAGCCAGAATGTCCTCGATCAGATGCGGGTTGACCTCCTCGTATCGCCCCTTCGTGCTGAAGTATTTGGCGATGGAGGGGACGCTGGAGACATCAGAGGGAGTGGATCGGACACAGCGCGGGTAGAAAGTGAGTAAAGTAGATACAATCATAAACGTACAGAGAATGGACATAATAGCATGAAAATGGAAAGTTTTGCAACGCACGTACTTTGCTCTCCCCATAGAGACGTGACCGCGGATGACCAGGGAGCTGCCAGAAGTGACGTCAGGGGCGCGCAGACGGAAAAGTGCCATATAAAAGAATTTCTTAGTATTTGTTTTGTAAATAGTGAAACATTGGACTAGATGTTGACAAATATGTATTGACGTTTATGCAGGGAGTTTGGCATTGAAACATCTGGACGCCCATAGTCCCACTTTCGGGTTGCCAGGTGGGGAGTTTTTTCAGCTCAATGGCAACACAGTCAGCGAGAGTATAGTTTTCTGTCAATCATACTCATATTTATAAAAGGTGAATTATCTTGGATGTGTTTTTGTTTTTATACAATTATTTTTGTTATAGATCTCCATTTTTAATTATGGGCAATGAGCAGTGTATGAGTAAGGCAAGGCAAGTTTACTTATATAGCACAGTTCATACAAAAGGCAACTCAAAGTACTTCACAAATCAAGATGGAAATAATCACTGTACATTAAAAAGAGAGAAAATTCAATCCTTCAGTTTTTTTGCACAGAACTGTGTTAGATTTGATTATTGTCAGAGTAGAAGCCTGTCTCACATTTCCAGGAAGACTGTTGCAGATCATAGTTTACATACTTTTACTTACATACATGGCCTGAAGAAGACCGCGTGCAGCTGTCTTCACTCTTTTGAATGTGCTGTGATTATTTATTATGTTAATGCCGAGTACGCCAGTTTTATCTTGTTTTGCTAAGCACTTCCCTTCGTTCATCTTCTTTCATAAACATTCTCTTGCGGACTTTGTATTAATATATGGACTGGCTCCTTTTAAATCTCATGTGACCTACAGTAAACTTAATTCTGATCCTAGCGCTCAGCCACACTGTTTCCAATCCATCAGTTTACATATGCAGGTCACCATCATTGAGGACATAACTGCCCCCTAGTGGATCAAACCTGTACGACACTGTTGTTACAATGGCCCAATTGCTACTGTGTTGGCACTGTATATCTATAATCCACAGAGTCGGAGGAGTGCAAATATTTACAAAGCCCAATATTGTGCAAGGCTTAATGATACAATAATTACTTGTGTGTGGAGTATTATTGTTCTTTGACAAACTAAAATACATGAATGATTGTTATAATATTTACATTCCCTGTGTTTGAACGAACCAATGTCAATGGTTGATGACTTGTGATGATCAGGCATGACACGTCCTTGTTTGAGTTATAATAATAATATTTTATCATGGCAGAAGTTTGCATCGCTTTTGCCCTCACATGCATTCAGGCTTGGTGCTCTGAAAGTCTTAATTAGGGCACATGTTTGGACTTATATGAGCCTTTTACCTATATATATTATTATTGTCATGTTTATCTTTTTATTTCTGTAATTACTTTTCCCTGTGAGAGCATTAGCAACACAGGGGAGTCTAGAAAATAGACTTTAAAGCAGCTCTGCTTGTGTAAATGTCTCTCCGTGGCGTCGCACTAAACTACATCTGTGACATGTGAGAGCCATATGAACCGACTCGGACTCTGAGGAGCACAGGGACTGGCCTCCTGCTGGTGCCCAGGGTCAGAACTAAACATGGAGAGGCAGCATTTCAGTTTTGAAAATGAAAATGTGAGACAGGCTTCTTCTCAGAAAATATTCAAATCCAGGTTAAAACAGTTCTGTTTAGCTGTGCATACAACGGAGGGATTGTATCTTTTCTCTTTTTAATGTACTGTGATAATTTATGATGCCTTGTGTGATTGTTTCTATCTTTGAGTTTCCTCGTATATACACTGTGCTATGCAAATAAACTTGCCTTGTGTTAAGGAGGTGGTGGTGTGGGAGGTCAGTAGCTGTAAAAAAAGAGTCTGCATCGTCACATACAGCAAGAACGGTCAGAAAAAGAAAATATATAAGATACATTAAAGATAAATGATATATGAAGGATGTTAGAGGTGTTATGGATGTTACACTCACAGTAACCAGCAATGCCAATGCCAACTGTTAATAAACCACTGCCAGGCCTTTGCTCCCACTGCAATTGTGAGACTGAATGTGTTTTACTTTTTTAAGACCATCCACAGGATTTTCCTCAAAAAGTAATCCAATTTGTTTTAATATTAATCATGAGACGCAGTAAGACATTGTGACTTTTGTTAAGCTCATAGTTAGCTTGTGTAGTCACAAAGGAGATACTGTACCTTCTTCTAGTCTGAAAACTAATTGTTTAGTCAAAATGATCATGGACCAGAACAAAAGTAAAATATAATATTAGCTCAAATAAAGAATGATATGTTATTTTTTTATAACAGATTCAAGGCACATAATGTTTATTAGTATAGCACAGCCCATACAAAAAGCAACTCAAAGTTTGTAACAAATCATCCAAGGACATAAATGATCATAAATAATTACAGTACATTAAAAAGAACTGCATAAATCTGCAACGCTTTGTTTTACTTGCTGTGGCCTCTGCCATATTATATGAAGTCGCACTGAAGTATTGCATAAAAAGTACAATAAACAATCAATAAAAATAAGCAATCAAACAATCAGGAGAAGCGCGTGCTTGTGCTTTGGTGTGAGGCCATGAGGGGCATGTGCACAAGCAGAGCTGCTTTAAAGTCTAGTTCTAAGTCCAAGTCTGGCAAAGACCCGGAGTCTATGCTTGGACTAGAACTGGACTAATGTGATGGTACTTCCTGGTTCTACTCAGGACTCCAGCTGCAGTATTTTAAATTTACTGCAGTTGCTCAGTGAAAGAGGCCAGAGAGTAAACCATTACAATAATGGGAATGATTGTAGATGGTAAAATATGCTGATGTTAATGATCTGAAATGTCTGTTTTAAGTTTGAAATCATTATTACCACTATAGAGGTCTATTACATGACCTATTTTCATGTCGTTGTCCAGATGTAGTCCAATTCCTTGAGCTCTATAGTGCTTTCACATGAACAGTATTTGACTTCAGTGTAAATGTTAAACCATAAGTTGTAGTGTATAGTCACGTACAGCAACAGAACTAAAGTCTGTATCTGTCAAGGAAAGATGAACACAAATATTATCAATGCTTAACATCAGATACAGCTTTATGTGCTGGATTTAAGCCGATGATGTATCTGATCCTTCTTGATAATAAGTAAAAGAATCAGATGTGGTTAAAGGCGCCGTGATGTGCCTCGGCAGGATATCTTACGTATTCACATCATTCACTTCATTTCTTCTATTTTTTAAGTGCTTTGTAAAAAGGAACTCCAAGGAAGCTGCATAAGTGGGGGCAGTGTATTTTTCACCCTGAATACCTCAGAGAGTAGCACCAGAGAGAAAGGGAGTACAAAGAATTCACATATTCAAACTGTGTTGCCCATAAAAGACTGATCTACAAATCTGTAACATAAATAGCCCTCATTGTACTTTAACTTATTCACATGCGATCGTTTTTCTCTCCTGTCACCGCACCGGGCTGTGGACCACACTGTCTGTGGACCACACTGTCTGTGGACCACACTGTCTGTGGACCACACTGTCTGTGGACCACACTGTCTGTGGACCACACTGTCTGTGGACCACACTGTTTGTTCAGAGAGCCTGCTCATCCCTTCTGTTGGAGACAATATCACAGATGCAGCTCCTTAATGTTCTTATTGATCTTTTATGCAACTTACATAATTGCAGTCATGGGACATAGAGGCTGAACTGTCTGTTTACGAGCATATCCCTATTACAATATTTAGGAGCAAATAGCACTGCAAACCCTAACTTCAATCTTACTTCAGATATCAAAGTTATTTTAAATTGATTTTTCCCAGTGAGTAAATATTACTTGTTTATTGTTAGTCTACTTAAAGCTTGGCTGTATCACTCAGGGCCTTCTTTGAATTGAGCTGTCTCTGTTCAAGTAAGCTGCACTCAAGTAAGGCTGAGTGGGTAGCATCTTCGCTCCTCTGCAAGAAGGTTCTGAGTTCGAATCCCAGTCGAAGCAGAATTATTCTGATATGTGTATAAGTCGAATTCACAGTTAAACTTTATTGCGATCAACTGAGTTCACTTGGCAACATCAAGTTAAGAATGTACTCGAGGAATTCAGGAGAAGTTAATGTGCAATTTATTTATATGAATGCCATGAAATCAAAGCAGTTTTACTATTCAAAACAGAAAAGAATGTCATGTGATATTTTCATTATAATTTGGCCTCGCATGACCTATTTCTAACCTTAACTCAGCCTGAAGGAAGAGTGTGTGCCTGATAACAGACTTTCTTCAGTTTATCTTAATCTCAAATTCTTTCTGAAACTTTCTCAATAGTTTCATGTGTACATGGTGGTCTGATAGTGGACTTATAAACACAGGACTCCCAGAATTCTGAAACTATACTAGAATTCCCAAAGCAGTCATTTTGACGGCTCAAGTCAATGGAATTCTGAAAATCAAACAAAAAGTGAGTTTGTTTTCCATAAAAAACTCATGGAAAACTAACTCAATTTTGTTGAGAAAGCAGAGAGAGAGAGAGAAACCAGAGGGAGAGACCAGAGAGAGACCAGAGAGAGAGAAGGAGAGAGACCAGAGAGAGACCAGAGATAGAGATCAGAGAGAGAGACCAGAGATAGAGACAGAGAGAGACCAGAGAGAGAGATAGAGATCAGAGAGAGAGACCAGAGATAGAGACAGAGAGAGACCAGAGAGAGACCAGAGATAGAGACCAGAGAGAGAGACCAGAGATAGAGATCAGCGAGAGAGAGAGAGAGACCAGAGAGACAGAGAGAGACCACAGATAGAGATCAAAGAGAGAGACCAGAGAGAGAGAGACCAGAGATAGAGACCAGAGAGAGAGAGACCAGAGATAGAGACCAGAGAGAGAGAGACAGAGAGAGACCAGAGAACGATCAGAGATAGAGATCAGAGAGAGAGACCAGAGAAAGACCAGAGATAAAGACCAGAGAGAGACAGAGAGAGACCAGAGAGAGACAAGAGATAGAGACCAGAGATAGACAGAGAGACCAGAGATAGAGATCAGAGAGAGAGAGAGACCAGAGAGAGACCAGAGATAGAGATCAAAGAGAGAGACCAGAGAGAGAGAGACCAGAGAGAGAGACCAGAGATAGACCAGAGATAGAGATCAAAGAGAGAGACCAGAGAGAGAGAGACAGAGAGATACCAGAGAGAGATCAGAGATAGAGATCAGAGAGAGAGAGACAGAGAGATACCAGAGAGAGATCAGAGATAGAGATCAGAGAGAGAGACAGAGAGAGACCAGAGAGAGACCAGAGATAAAGACCAGAGAGAGACAGAGAGAGATCAGAGAGAGACCAGAGAGAGACCATAGAGAGACCAGAGATAGAGACCAGAGAGATCAGAGATTGAAATCAGAGAGATAAACCAGAGAGACCAGAGAAAGAAACAGTAAGAGAGACAGCGAGAGACCAGAGAGAGAGACAAGAGAGAGAGAAAGCGAGAGAGAAAGCGAGAGTTCAGATAGAGAGAGAGAGACCAGAGAGAGAGACTATGAGAGAGACCAGAGATACAACAGAGAGGAGAGAGACATATAGAAACAGAAAAAGTCACAAAGTCATGAAGACCACAAATATACAAACGTTGCGTGATTACACATCCCAACTAAAATCCGTCAATTTGACTGCTCTGGGAGTTCTAGTGTTAATAAGGGCCATAAAGCTGAGATACCTGTAACTTTCAAACCAAAAAACATTCACCATGCATTAAAGTCCATCTACAATCATCCCTCTCTAAACAGCTTGGTTTCATCATTAGTTTTCAAACGTGTGTATTTTTGATACATCTTGGAATACACTTTTTTAGCGAGAAATGTAAAAAAGAGAGGACCACCCTCACTCAGCTCTGAAACCCAAGAATCAAAGTAATGACTCACTGGGATCTCTCCTTCAAGTTGGAAAAAGAAAAAACACCATGTTCTGCTTTGATTTGCTCACAAAATGTTACTTTTAGAATAACATTTTTTTTTCTATTCGAACAAACACATGTATTACTCAAGTTTAATAGTACGGGTTAAGTATTCTAGTTCAGATTCACTCATTTGTCTGGCAAGCATTGTCCCATTTTAGTCTTCATGGTTACTTCATCTGTTTAGCACAAATTGGTGTTGGAAAATGTGATTTATTATCGTGACACAAAGGTACACTGTGTTGCTATATAAGAAGTGTGTGCTTGAGTCATAAATAGACAAAGAGGGATCATACTTGGGCCCGGCCAACAGAGGGCTACAAACACATGAGTAATGAGAAGGGTCATCCACTTCCAACAACACGGATTTTGAAGTCATCCCAGGATACGTTCATAACTCTCGTAAACTCCAATTTTACATTTTTAGAACGCAAATCTAAAGAGCAATAAACAGAGCATAGCGCACAAGCTTAAACGAGTGCCTTTATGAACTGTTATTGGTTTTATCAATAGCTTTATCATTGATATTTTACTATAATTAACACCTGTCTTGGGTTGATAGATGCTGTTTATAACTTTTGTGGATGTCAAAACAACACACAAGTATTAACAAATAAATAAACCCACGCACACACACACACACACACACACACACACACACACACACACACACACACACACACACACACACACACACACACACACACACACACACACACACACACACACACACACACACACACACACACACACACACACACACACACACACACACACACACACACACCACACACACACACACACACACACACACACACACACACACACACACACACACACACACACACACACACACACACACACACACACATCGTATTTTAGCGTGAGAGCAGAAAAACCCCACACTTTCTGTGGCCCGTGAACGCACACTATATGACGGCTTGAAGGGAACTCCCCGCTCCTCTCACTGTTACCGCCTCCTTCTGAAAACACCGGACAGACCAGATCCTCCCTATCACCGCATCCACACATACCCGGGACCAATTCGAGCCGATATCTGGACAAGTCTTCTCAAAGGTACGCGTGAAATCCATCTTTATCCCACGGTCGCGCCGCTGTCTTTGCCTCCCACCACAGCCTCCATAGACTTGACTAGCGTGTGTGTCATCCCCGCTGTAATGCTACGCTAAACTCCACATACAAACACAATAACGGGATTTCAGGAGCAGAAATTGACTATACCACACAGACTGGACATTGTAGCATGACGCGAAACAAGCTAAACAGTCTTAGCTAATTCTGGTAAGATTTCACAATTGTTTTATTTTTTTATTTCAGGCAAACACAACAGCATCACAGTTGCTAAAATCATGAAAAACATACCTATAACAAAATAAAAAAAAACAAATTTGCCTGATAAGAGAACTTTAACATCTCATGTTTATCTCCTCCTCTGAAATACTGTCATTAATCACGTCTCTAATTTTTCCCCCCACAATCGCGTTTTTTTACCCATTTTTTTATGTCAGTGTATAGGCTGTTAAACGTGTATGCAACGTACTCAGGCTTTAATTATACAGCTATTACAGTTTAGCGCCCAAATGCTGTGTTTATGAGTTAGCCATAGGTTTTTAGCTAGGTGTGCTAGCCCCCCAGAAACGCGCCGAAGAAGAAGAAGACGCCAGCTTGCTTATCTATTTTTAGGTGACCAGGCTGTAAGCTCTTTAAGCCACTAACATACAGCATTTCTACAGGCCCTAAATGTAAACCAATGCGGGTTTTTGTGTGCCAATAAGCTACCCCAGTCAAGCGTTGTTTTGATCTTACTCTTTGACTAACCACAGACTGAAAAGGCAAAGCAAATATTGTCCACACTTGTGCTGCCGGGATCAGTTACTACAGTGGTATTCAAAGTATGGCCATTTGCTTAGCTAATGTCTGTTTTGTTTGATCCTACAGTCAGATGGAGACAGTGTAGTAGTAGTAGTAGTAGTAGTAGGCAACAGAATAATCTCCACCAGATCATGAGTTGAGTGTTAGAAATGTAGCAAGTCATATTCCTTCACACTTTGATTTCAGTTTTGGCTGATCTAACTTGTTGTCTAACTTGTTGACATGTTAGTTCTGCTTTTAGTAGAGTCTGTGTTGTGGATTTTAGCTGGCATCTAGTGTGACTGTCTGAAAACCCAGGCAGGGGCGTGTCTGTTCAAAGAAATAGACTGCCAGCAGCTCTTAAAAGTTTCTTGGGAGGCAAATAAGTTCATACAATTTGAAATGTGGTCCACAAGAGAAATTACATGAAGACACAAAGAACAACAACTCAAATTATTTATTCGGATATAATTTCACACTCAAATTAGTTCATTCTTTTTTGAGTCAAGATGAGATAAACTGTGTTGATTTCACAATGGAGAAATTTACAAACATGCTTGAGTAATGTTTGAGTGATATCCTGACTCAAGACATTGCTTTTTACTGTCTCTGACACACACACACACACACTGCTATTTATTTACTCTGTGTGTTGATCTTTTTGTGATATTTGTGCTTTTGGGCAATGTCAGAGGCACTGTGACTCAAATGTTGAAGCGAAAAAAGCTGTTTAATGTGTAACCTGTTGCTATGTCAATGTTTTGCAGTGATTGCATTTACATAATTCAGTTTTAAGAGTATAGGCACAGTTGTTACTACAGATGTCAGCAAAAACAAATAATTTTTTATACTGTTTTTGATTTGAAAAAAGTATTTAAAATGTAATTGTTTATACACTAATTTCATATTGAAGAGCCTATATTTAAACTTGGGACTTAATTGAATGTCGACATGGACTTGCATTGTGAGAGAATAATATTTGGTTCTTCTACACCAGACAGTAGTAAGTTAGTGATGTTAATACCTTGACATGGTTCAACGGTATAGACTTATTTCTACTAAGAAGACAAGATGAACTTTTTTAGACTTGGATTGTGACAGCTCAGCAAGTTTTTTTTATCTGTATTGGCCTGTGTATAGTATAATAACCTTCCTCACCTGACCCTTTTGTAGCAACAGGCTATGATTCAGTTGAGGGTTTACCCACTGAGTATACCTACAGTATAAATTGAAGGGTCATATAAGTCATTTTCTCATCGGCGTGAAATTCTTTTTTATCCCACTATACAGCTAACAATCTCGCAACATCTTTCAGTTATTGTCCGGTTGTGTAAGAAGATGAATAAGGGGAATTAGAGGAAACACACTTCTCATGCAACAACAGACTGACTGTCGAGAGCATTCAAGGGGCAAATGTTAAATCAAGTCAATGGGATTGTTTGTTGTCAACAGTTCCACAGTGGGTCGCTGACATGCCTGAGCAAAAGCATGTCTGACAGCCGAATATCTGGCAGATTAAGCAAAAAGTGCAAAGCAGCGTTTTTGCAGATTTGGTGGAAACAATGGCTTTTCTGTAGTCAAGATTCTGCGTTGATTTGGAACAACTGCTGCAACTGTCTTGCTAACAAACTGCCTTGACAAACAAGCTCTGCCAACTTTCCTTGTTATGTGGATTCTCTTTTTTGCTATCTTATGCTGTCTGATTTCCCTCACGGTCCCCTTTCAAAATGTGCTTCCTTTGGATATTGATTCGGTGTAATGCCAGTTGCCCTTCCAATGCCTTGCCTGGGACTGTTTCAAAGAGTACTGACTTGTTACCCTTGTGCCTGGATGGATTTTGACAGCACAAAACAATGCACAGACTTACACAAATGATGGAAAATACAACAGAAGAGAACAGAGACTAGTAGGGAGCAGGCATCATCTCATCCGTTATAACTGTTATCTTATTCATGGCCTTTTAACGGGCTCAAACTCATTTACCTGCTCCGCTCTGCTTCTCATCAACTGTCCAGAGATACACACAGTAGTTTTTCAGGTTTAAATCAATCATTCTCTGTGTTTGTACTGTATATGGATCAGTGTTTCACTTGAGTGAAAATATTAACTTTTATTATGCTTTTAAGTTTGTGATTGTGTCCTTGTTTGCATTGAGTTTGTCCTTGATCTACCAGTTGCCAAAGCACTGAATAGGTCAATTTTATAAAAAAATAAACAATGATTGACGCCATGTATGAAGAACATTTTGGGATCTATCATTGTTCCGTTGGCTACAGCCATCTTGGAACAATCTCTAGGCATTCCTGTCTTTCCACTAACGGGAAACACATGAAGCATTTCCCCCATTCACATGGCTACGTCCCAGTTTCATGTGGCCTGGAAATCTAGGCTAGTAGCACTTTAGTTATAACCTAGTTTTGCTATGATAATTTTAGCTGTTGCATTTTGTTAAGTAAAGAAATAGAGAGTCTGAAGTGTGTTTTTATGGGTTAATATTCAATTAAATTACCCACTTGATGTGCCGCTCTATAACCATATTATTGTACATTAGAAAACGGAAGCAGCATGCAAGAAGAACCATCTCGGAAATTAAACATATTTTTTTAAAGTACATTTAATAAAGGCATGGATTTATATTTTGCAATAACATTTCAACACCTGGCTATTTGCAGAAGTCTGATTAAATGGCACCTCTCAGGTAACCGCATTTGAATGGAAAGCAGTGCACCTTCTATTGTTTAGACGGACATTGTCAACATTTGAGCTGGGTACTGTTGAGACTTGTTCCCATCTTTGAGTGTTCCATTTTCACTAACAAGAAACCAAACTTTCTCAACACATCTCTTTACACCTCCATTACAAGTTTTCTTGGCCTATCATGAAACTGTTCAAGTCCTCTGTGAACTACAACTGATCAGTACAACTACTTTTTGTTTAGTACTTTTCCGTGTGTCTTGCTGCTAGCTCATAATCTGACATTTTTTGACTACTATCTGATCATATAGTGGTCAGAGCAGTGTTGACGTCATAGTATGTTGTAGGGCTGGGCGATATGGCAAAAAAGTAAAATCTCAATTTTATTTCCTGATTGGACAATTTTAAATCGATTTTCATTCAAGTCACCGAAGACAGACTTTTCCCTTAAAAATGTTTTTTGATATTTCCGCTCAATATTCCATTTTCAAAACTATTTTTAATCTGTTTCCTCCAATACGTATTATAGAAATCTTGTACAAACTGTGCCGATATTGCAAGAACAATTTATGTGCTGCTAGAACTCTCACAATATTCCTTCATTCGATTTCACGGCTTTTAATTAATCGGCTTTCAAAAGCCGATTAATTGCCTAAATTCGATTTATTGCCCAGCCCTAGTATGTTGTAGTTGTTGCTGCCTCAAATAATCTAGTCGTACCATTGAGAGAGAATATCAGTTCACATACGAAAGGCTTACACTTAAAACTTTTAAAATCATGCTAAAATCATGCTAAAACAATGCATGGGTGCAGGCTTGATTGGATAATCAAGCTTGTGCCCATGTGTCAGTATGTCTGTGTTGATGCCCTGCGGCCATTTGAATTGAAATATGTTTTTGTGTTGCATACCTGCTTTTTTATTGAAATATTTTAACTAACTTTACTGTTAATGTATGTATATTTTATATTGTAATGATTGAGGTGCAAATGAGCTGTTTAGCTAATACTGGATTTTACAGTAATGTTGAAAAACCACTGAATGGTTTGCTCATCAATTTGGTGGATCACTTTTTGTCTACTGGAAGCTTGGAACTGAAATCTACCTCCATTGGGGCATCTCTCTCACTTGGTTTTAGGCAATTTTACCATCAAACTGAATTTTAACTATTTAGGAGACATAAAAGTAAAAAACAAGGGGTTAAATTATTATTATTTTTTCTACATCTTTGCAATGTAAAAATAATTGTCTTTCTTTAAGGAGCGAACAGGAAATTGTTAATGTGTAGTGTACTGCCTCTATTCAAATAAACTAAAATCAAATGAAAACTTGTAAAATACATTATTGCGGTGCTGGTTTGTTAGCGTAGCTCCAAGTGCCCGGACACGCACGGTCGGCCATTGTTGACATTTGGGGCCTTGTTGACACAGATGCGCGAGGAGCTGGCTGGTGGCTGTGGTGTAGGGTAATTACTCCCAGGTGAAGAGTCCCACTGTGGCCTATTTCAGAGGC